ATGACAAAGCAAAGAATGAGGCAGATGATGATTTTGATTTTTCCCTTCCCTCCAAATCCTAACTCCTCCACTGCTTTTAAGATACCTTGAGAAGGCCCCTCCATTACCTACACTGTGTACTTTCCAGTCTCCAGCAGCATCTAACTCTTGGCCATTTTCCATGGCACAAAATTGGAAGAAGCAGAGAAGGCTAATAAGGCTACACATCACTGATTTCCAATCTTTAAAATAATTTGGGTGTGTAATCCCAATTGAGGTATCCTAATAATTGAAATAGTCCTCACTTTGATGAAACTTTTGCTGAGTAAACTACTCAGGAAGAGACATGCAATATTTTTATAATTTCATGGCATTAATCATTAGTCTACTGTTATTCCTGTGTGCCATGCTATGATTATTCATCCAAGGCAGACTCCCTGAGCTAAAACCCTATGGACCCTGCACCATTTGGAAGCAACAAATGAAAGAATCTTATCAGAGGCCTGTCAGGGACAAATAGGGGCTGCTTCTGAAAGTGGCAAATGATAATTCATTTGTGAAATATTAATTGATCCTGCATGTTAAACTCAAGTTTAACTAGCTTTTAAAAAGTACAAAGTGATTTTAAGCCTGATCCTAAATTGCAAAAGTTAAATAAACATTCAAGAGAAGAACTGATATTTTAAGATTCTTATATTTATTTGGAGAGCAGAATGTTTTAAGGCACTTTGCATCAGTCAGTGTGTCTAGTTACTGCACTTTTAATTTTTCCTTTTTGGTACCAGGGTGGTGGCTAAGAGTTCAGGTTTGGGGCAGAACCCTGACTCTGCCATTTACTGATTGTGTAATCTATGGCAGGTCAGTGAATGTCTCTAATCCTCCCTTTATTTCATTTTAAAATGAGGGTAATCATACCTGTCAGTGTAGTAGTCAAAAGAAGTGCTTTGTGTGTAAAGCACTTCACACAGAGCAAAGCAAGTGTTCAGTGCTTTCTGATGGTGGCTGTTATTATTGTGGATATTTTATTATCTTTTAACTGTTATTGCATCGTGTCAGGAAATGATTGCTTAAATGTTTAAACAGTGCTGATAACATTGTCTAGTGTTTTAGAGCAAATGTATTTCTGCTAATTTATGATATTTTTTTTCACAATAGTATCGTATTTTAAAGTTCCCAGACTTCCAAGGGAATGCACCATCTCTCATATTTTTGTTCTATGGTAAAATGTGTTAAAACTTCCAAATAACTGACATAGAAATAAACTCTTGGGGTGGCTCTGTATAGTTAATGTTTTGCTTACTCTTCTATCAGTCAGACCATTAGTCCTTTCATCAGTCATCACTGAGGAATCCCTTGAGAGCTGCTTCTTAACAATGTTAATCATCTCATGACCAGACCCGAACTCCTCAGACTCTCAGGTACCCTAAAATCCCCTCCTAAGTTGCAGTGACTTCCCTGAGCCACTGATACTTGGGCCAATTATTTTTCAAATCAGTTTTTGTCAGTTGATGTCTAACAAGCATTTTAAATAAACCCCTGTGAACATTAGTGAGACAAATTGTGAGATATTTCCAACAGTCTCTTGTATTGCTCTATTTAAAAGTATTTTTATATTTTTTTCTATTTATGATTTTTAAGGCACATGAGCATATACAACTCTATTTAATGGTTTGATGAGATCCTGGCTTGTTTTAATAACTGTTTATGTTTAGTATCAAATACTACTGGGTAACTGCACTTACTAAAAGATAGTATCTTTTGTGAAATATAAGATGGGAGTGTATATGAATGATGTTGTATTTCATTCTGAACCCTTTTGTTTAAGCCTCAGCATTGCAGTGTGTCTGTCTGAATTTCCTGATAACAGCTGTTACCATGGCTGCATCTCATTTCATATTTCATTTGTTGAACTGATGCTTGATAAGAGAAATGGCTTTGAATTGTCTGCAATTTTGAATCTAAATAGAAGTGTTTTCTCTTTTTTTTTCCTTATGGAGGTAAAATTAGGAAACGAGTTAAAATTCCAAGCCCCCTGTTCCTAAATAAGGGTTATGCAATGCTCATGCACAATGCGTTGGGGACTGTGGACTTTGGAACTCTTACCCCGCCACTAACTGAAAAACTCTGGCCCTGCCCTCAAGGACAGGGAGCAGAAGATGGACTAACTTAAATAAGGAAATGTCAAATCAGCCTCTTTAAAAAATGGGTTTCTTCTTTTAGGTTAGCTGATAGGTGGTGAATGAAGCCTCGGCTTTTCATTATGGCTTTTACAGGGAGCTCATATCTTATGTTCCATGAATTCTTATCAATCTACAGGATACAAGTATGTTTTAAAAACATGTTGATCAAATAAAGTGAAAAATATCTTTTGAAATGTAATTTCTCCCTGAAGCAAAAATTGAGACATGTGATCTATGAAGAAGTGACTCTGAGAGCCCATGGGAAAGCAATACCCATAGTGGTTATAAATACTGACACTGGAGTGAAATGGCCTGGCTCTGGACACCTTATATGACCTCGGACACCTCTCTGTGCTTCAGTTTCCTCAGCCATAAAGTAGGAATATGAATAGTACCTTTTCTTATTGGGTTGCTGTGAGATTTATTGAATTAATACATTAAAATCTTTAGAATAGCTTCTCAAA